CATACATACATGTATACATACATATATATACATATATATACATATTTCTCAGGAGAGTTTCTATAGTCTTGTTACAGGTGCGTACATATTTAAAACAACAGAAACACTTGGCTGAACCAGTAAAAATACTCTCCAGGTCACAGTAAGAGTGTTTACATTTTTCATCCTATCTTTTCCAAGAAGTATCACGTCACTCTCTCCAAACTAAATCATGTCCATGTCGACTCTGCTTACCAGGAGCTCTAAATTCCCCTCCTTTTTTTTTTTTTTTTTATTGTTTGGAGAAAAAAAAACAAAAAACACAAAAGCCCCTCGCAGGCTGCTCGTACACACTCCGCGATGTCGAGTTCGCGTCCAAACTGAGACACTTGGTTTGTTTATATTTTTTTTTGTTGTTTTTTTTTTTTTTGTTTTTAAAAATAATCCCTCGGCCGGTGATTAGTCCTCCATCAGGAAGTGCTTTCAGGAAGTAGTCGCTGCGGCCGTGTTTTGAGTGACAGCTGTGCGGTGGTGACAGCCCACACGGGACGGCAGCCGCAGAGCCGAGCCGACACTCAAGATGGCAGGTAATGGCACTTCTTTTTACCAGAGGAAAACCAGTGTTATTCTTCACGGTTTCGACCCGGTGTCGGCCCGTATGCAGCGGCGGCGTCGTCCTCACAGCCCGCGTGGATAAAATAGCGGCCCGCGCTTCGCCGCGTTGGCGTTCGTCCCAGGCGAAGTGCGAGCGAAGGCGAAGTGCGAGCGAAAGGGCTGGATGTTAGCGCAACTTAGCTCCAGTTAGCTCACGAAAAGCTACCCCCGGGCTTTAAGGGTATCGAAATGTGTGACTTTGAGGCCGCTTTTAAACGCGCGGCCACTCGGCACGCGTTGACGGCGCTGTAAACAATCGCCCTCTCCTTTTAGTCGGGTGTTATCGCGAACCCGGAGTCGTGTTTAACATCGAGCTGTTGTCATAGCAAAGGCTAGCGAGCTGACCGAGCTAACCGATAGCCGAGTTGCTAAAGTCGTTTCCAGCCATAAGCTGAACAAATCCTCCTTCGTACCACAACAAAGGGGAGATGTTGTTCTTCGCCACCGTGCTTTGTTTTCGGTGGGGTGTTGTTAAAAGCAGACGGAGTGATATTTAGTGCACACTTAAAACAGCACATTTAATGTCTCTTTTCGAAGATAGGAGTTGTTTTTTTTTATATATTTATATGTATATCTGGAGCACATTCCCTTGCCCAGCTGTAAACACTGGCATTAGGCGTCCCACCACATGCTTTCTCCTTCTGGGACCTCTTTCTGGGCTCTTCTGTTCACCTCTCTGCTCTGGGTTATTGTCCTGTTTGCAGGGTTGGCTGGGTTTTTCAAACACATGATGGAAAAAACAAGTCCTTATGTTGTGAAATTAACCTCTTAGGCGTGACATGTCTGCTTTGTGTGCATCACATTGGACTGCGTGATAACGTGAAGTTTAAACTGGAAGTGTAGTTTTGCAATCCACTAACAAAAATGTGCTTTAGGTGTTTGTGATGTATTTTTAAAAAATCAATGCGCGTGTGTTGTTGTGAAATAAACTGAATGTGTACATTTCTGCCAGGAATTATTCTGATTTAGGTCTTTTATTTGTAGTTTTAATTGTGGGTGAAACAATCGTCTGTGCGATCCAACAAATTCTGAGGAGTTTTGTCAGTATATTTGTGATTTAATCTTAAAAAAACAGATAAAATGAGACCTACTTAATAGATCGGATGCAGGAAGACTGAAGTGTCGAAGCATCAGCCTGGAGAAACTATATTATGAGCATCTGTTGTATCCAAAAATGAAGCATTAAAACTATTACATACACCAAACATGAATAACGACTAAATAAATGAGGGAAAAATGATAAATGTCACCTGAGAAGTGAAGGGAATGAAGCGTCTTACGAGTGTAAAAAGCAGAGAAGACACAAACGCATGCGACAGAAAAGCTCGCGCAAACTGCAATCAGAGCTTCCTTAAGTGATCTCTAAGTGTTTCCTCAGGCAAACACACACACACACGAAGCAAATTAAAGGTGTGTGTACACATACGTACATACATACATACACCCAGATGACCAGTGACCTTGTGTTCATTTAATCACCCGTCGCTGTGATTTACTGACGCAGACTTTGTCCCTTCTTCTTAGTAATTGTCAGCCTGTAAACCTGCCAACCCAGAGCTCCTTTCATTTTGTACGGGGAGCGGTGTAATAGACTGATGGTATGTTGATGACGTGTTTGCCACCGAGGATTTCCCCTCTAATTGCCTTATCCTTGCAGGTCTGTCTTTATATTTTGAAGATGGCCACGACGATTTGGATGACTGTGAGTACTCCGGTTGCTTGTGTGATTTGTTAATAAACCCTGTTCATGCTTTGGCTCCTTCCATACATGTGCAGCTTTGTTTTGCTCTCTCCTTCAGCGGAGAGGTGTGTGTCAGTGTCATCTTTCCCGGCAACCCCGTTCAACCCACATGTGAAATTTAAAAGCTGTCAACAGTATTTCAGGGTTTTTACGCCGTGCTATTATTAGCTGTTATACAAACCAATAGTCCCCCGTTGTCTGCATTAGCTAGGGTGATGAAACACCTTTTGGATCCAACTGAAAAGCCAGTGTGTATTTATGGCCGGGACATTAAACAGAACAGTTAGACTTGAGCCTTTCTGCTGTGTTCACACATCGGAGGTTCTTAATTGCTGACATTTAGTCTGACTCAGTGTCTTCCAACATGGCACTGTGACTGAGGCGGTGCATCTGTCAGCCGTCGTTCAAACGTTTTGTGTCCGCAGGCATTAGCTGCACCATTCAGAGATGTTTTCCCAACGGTTTGCGAAGGCTGTAAAAAATCATCTTTCTCTCTCTGTCCCGCAGTTGGATTCGACGACTACGGCTCAGAGTGCGACGGCATCCGCATCACAGCCTTCCTCGATGCCGGACAAGACAACCTAACTCCTCTCGGGAGGCTAGAGAAGTATGCCTTCAGTGAGAATGTCTTCAACAGGTGAGGGGAGCCTTGTGGTCAGGCTGTTCACTCTGCACCAGACAGACAATGAGTAATTTTTTTGGAGTTGTGAAGATACATTGTCAAGCTATATTGTGCAATGTAAACACACAGCGATTCAGTGTATTGTGGCAGAAAGCGTTGTGTTTTTAGTCACATTCCAGCTTGAGCTGCAAATACTTGGAGCAGAACTCTGATCGCTCTTTACTCGTGTTTTCTACCACAACTTCAGCTGCTGATAGGTTGACTCAGAACTTAACAGCTGAGTTGGAAAGTCACAAACATACAGTTACACATAATAAAATACATAAAAAAAAAAGGTTTTCCTAAATCAAGCTACTGTTTCCTTTGGCTGCGTCCATGTCAATACGTTTAAATGTGTACTTTTTTCTACATTGAAACCATCTACACACACTTTATTTCTGGCTGATAACTCATTTATACTTTCCTTTGAGCAGAAAGTGAGTAACAGTGTTCTATTCTTGCCACCTGAAAGAGGATTAATACATTTTTGTTTTGGCATTTTGGCGTGGAAGCCAAGCTTGTGGAAAACAAGAAAGTGGTTGATTTAAAACCAAACCCTGTCTGACAAGTAAACAATGATTTTAGATTTACCTGCAGATGTGTAGACATGTCTTCATGTTGGTTTGTGTTGACCGCCTAACGCCACGCCTAGTGGAACTTAGACTCAAGGACACATCTGGCAAATGACAGAGGTGTTCAGAAAAAGTGATGAGAAGATGTAGCCAGATATTCAGATGAACTTTTCATCTCATTTTAAAGAAATTAAACTTAAACTGTTCACAGATTTCAATGAAATCATTTCTAAAAGGTTTTATGGCTCAATTAAGTATAATGGCGTAATGTTGCACAATAACCCATTGTCGTTATTTGACTTCTTTTCTTCATATTATCGTATAAATGATGGAATAATGGCTAAATTTAGTCATAAACCCCACACTGGAAAATTTAGATGGGAGATTAACATGGTCCCATCTCAACTCTAGTTGTGTTTCTTCCAATTCATCTGGATGTCTGTCTGCATTCTTGTGTATTTACTAATCACATACCTGCTTTAACTCTGTAGTGCAGGAATGCCAAAAGACTTAATGTTGAGCCATGGGGGATGGTTTCTGTCTGAACGTGGCATTAGGTTGACAGTGCTAGTCAAACGTGTGTAGTGTTTCCAGCTGAAGACACATTTTGGTTTCTGCATATTGTCTGTGAGATTTATGTTGTTTTTTTTTTTTTATGTTGTACTTTCTGCGTACTTGAAAGTAAAAGCCTGCCAGTGCATCTAAAGTCCATAGTATGTGCTTTCTGATTAAACGCAATGCCTCTGCAAACACTTCATCCTGCTCCGTTGTCTCCACACAGTCGGGTTTAGTTCATGTCTTTATGCTTTTCATGCTCAGCTTCGCAAGAGTTCAGGCCCTCCTGTCGTTTCCAAATACATGCGTGTGTAATGTTCTTGACAGCTCTGTCAGTGCTGTGCTCTACGCAGTGTGCATTCAGCACTTGTAGGTATTGGCAGTCACTCTCACTGACTTGACGCTCCTGTTGCTTTCTAGGCAAATCGTGGCTCGTGGCCTGCTTGATGTGCTTCGAGAGTTCAGTGACAATGAAAATGACTTTATCAGTGTGATGGAGACAGTTGCCAGAATGTCAGAAGACGGAGGTAGATGCATTTTCCTTTTCATCCAATTAGTTGTCATGTCTCTAGATAATTCTGCGCTTTTTTGACTGTGATTTCCTTCATTAAATGAAATTAAACTCCTTCAGGATTTAATCGTGTTTCCAAGCACGTGATGCTCATGTTTGTACATTAAGCTTATCCTTTTAATGTGTGTACTCAGAGCCCACAGTGCGAGCTGAACTGATGGAGCAGGTCCCCAACATTGCCATGTTCTTACACGAGAGTCGCCCCAACTTCCCAGCTGCTTTCTCAAGATACTTGGTTCCCATTGTCGTTCGATATCTCACTGATCCAAATAACCAGGTTGGTTTCAAATTTACTACTTTTCCAGCTGATTTTTTTTAGGAAATAAGTGACTTACAACAAATAAGTTCACTGGTCAGATTCATTTACACCAAGTTGACACTGAGTTTTAAAACGTCCTCACATGTTTTCCAGGTGCGGAAGACCAGCCAGGCAGCGCTGCTTGTTCTGTTGGAGCAGGGCCTCATCTCTAAAGCTGATATGGAGACCAAAGTTTGTCCAGTGCTGCTTGAACTCACTGAACCCAGCAGTGACGATGACTACAAAATCGAGGCAGTTGCTGTAAGAATTTTATCTGATCCAGTGACCAGTATACAATAACAACATCTCTCTTTTGATGGAACATAATTGATGCCAGCAAAGAATATTTTTGGATTTACATAAACTGTACTTTACCAAGTGTTACTGAACTGTCAACATTTTTGAAAATTTGATTTTTTTTTTTCAAAGGCTCAAAGTTGAATGTGATTTTTTTATTATGATGTTTTTGTTGTTAGCTATACATTTATTTACTTAACCCAATTCAAAGTTGCACACCTGCTCCTCATGCCGCTCTCTGTATGTCTCCTCTGACAGATTATGTGTAAAGTTGTCACCATGTTGAGCAAAGACACAGTGGAGCATCTATTGCTGCCACGCTTCTGTGACCTGTGCAGTGATGCCAGACTCTTTCAAGTTCGCAAGGTAACGACCACCAAAATTTCCTGCTGAAAGGTTAATGTACTTTTAACGTTCTGAAATTACTCATGGTAATGAAACCTACAGGAAATTCTGTCTCACACTGCAGTCACAACTGGGTAAATGGTTATTTGAGGTAGAGTTTAACTGTGTTCCCTCAGGATAAATTTAATAATAATGTGAGTCAGCCTTAATTCTGTTTTGCGCATCACCTTATCCTTCACTACGCTGTTGTTTTCTGTGAGGAATGTTAATTCTCTGGTGTTACTGGTGCCAGCAGCAGAAAAGTGTTTAGGATTTGCAAAGGTGGTCAAACATTGTGAATTATGATGTTAGCTCTTTTGTGATATGATTTTTCTGCCTTTTCTCTGAAGCTGAACTTTGAATTGTTTTGCTGCTTTAGCCCAGGACCCCAAATAAGCATACAGGTGTCAAAATATTCAGGACTCTCAATAAAACATTAAAATCCTTCTTTCATACAGTGAAGAAATGCAGTATGTCTGAAAATTGTACAATAGGACTACGACTTTACATACGTTAAGTCAATGCAGATGGTCTATGTTCTGCTTATTAGTAGAAATGATGTTTAAGTAGTGTTTATTATTGTATAAATGCTTGAATTGACTGTTGTGTTAGAATTGCAACAAAAGTTGGAGCTATTATGATCTAGAACTGCATTGTTCGCCCATATTTACATGTACATTTACATGTACATTTACATTTATGTAAACCTTTAAAACAATGTGTCAAATATATCACACTGATGAAACTCTTGATGCCCGAATGTTAGGAACTTTTCTTTTTATATGGAAATTGAATTCACATGGTCATGTAAAAACCACCCTCAAGACACATGGCCAATGTTGCTAGGCGACTATAGCATATAGCAGTACAGATAATAGAAAAGTACAGAAATACTGAATGATGGAGGAGATTTAGTAACCCAAACAGTGTATTTATGATTTAATTATGGAATTATTAATATTCCTTTTAGTGTTACTGGAAATGTAAATCAGCAACGTCTTGTGGATTGTGTCTGATGTTTTAAAAAAAAAAAAACATTATTTGCTGTTTATTTGGCACTGAAACGTGACCTCGTTGTTCATAATGTTTTGTGTTTTGTATGACAGGTCTGTGCAGCAAATTTCGGAGAGTTTTGTTCTATTGTTGGTCAGGAGGCTACAGAAAAACTACTGGTAAGAAGCCCCAAGACCAATGAAAACCCCATTCCCATCTTTATTGTGACTGATGACAAATCTCTTCTGAATATAAGTTGCAATTTTTCCTGACGTGTTTTTGTTTTTAACGTAGATGCCCAAGTTCTTCGATCTGTGCTCAGACAGTCTGTGGGGCATCAGGAAAGCCTGCGCCGAGTGCTTCATGATGGTCTCTAATTCCACCTCTCCCGAGGCGCGACGTGTGACACTGTCCCCGCTGTTCATCAGCCTCATCAGTGACCAGTCTCGCTGGGTAAGATGCACGCAGGAGAAATTGTAATTCACATGCTTCTAAGAAGATTTATTGCAACTTCCTCTGTACTGTGATGAAAATAGAGCAGTTGTTGCTATGACTTGTTGCAAGTTTGTTTTTCTCACCACTGTATGCGTCATATTCTTCCTTATTTTGAGCCTTATCTATAGTTAGATTACAATTCTTTCAAATGTTAAAATAAGAAACTACTATTCTGAAAATATGAAAGTGGAAATACACACAGAAGAAATGTAAGCGCAAATTATCAATGGGGCTTAAAGGCTGTCAGTATTTTGGTCTTAAAGGGTCTGCAGGCTTACACCAAATTTGTACTTTTTACATCCATGAGGGATACATTTTGCCATCTACCGATGTTCATGAGGGTCCACATGGAGTTTGCACTGAGCAACATGTGTGATCTCGTCGGTGTATGCAGCCACCCTCTGTACTATAAACAGAACTGAATGCACTGCCACTGTCCGTCTCTGTGTACTATTTTGGACTGTATCCGGCCCCTTAAAATGGTGCCCCATGCAAATAATCCCGTACAAGAATAAGCAAATGAAGATGAGCTTTGAGTGTGGAAGAATCTCTTGTCATGATGAAACTCACAGATCTCTGTCTTTGTCACACTTCTAGGTGCGACAGGCTGCCTTTCAGTCTCTGGGGCGTTTTATCTCCACCTTTGCCAATCCCTCCAGCACAGGCCTTCACTTCAGAGAGGACGGTGCCCTACTAGAGGTCCCCAGATGTACATTGGACAGGTAAGACCGCCTCACTTTTAACACCACTGGAACAACTAACATTTATTTACAGCTATTGGCTTACATTGATGAATCATTTGCCTCTTTTCAGTTTGTTCGATACCAGACATCAAAGTAATTGTATCTTAGTAGGACACGTTTGACAGAAGTTGTTTTTTATGTAAACTCATATATATATATATAACTCGATATACTTTGGCACTACACCAATATGAGTTTGTACTGGCACAGACACGGTTTTAAATTCTAAATTCTTTAAGTAAAGAATTGTATTTAATGTCTTTTCTCTGAATACTTTTTACCTAGAAAGTTACTTGTTTTTGAAATGTAACAAGGGTGAGAGTATTTTGTTTTAGATAGAAGGCTTTACCTGAGTATTCCTCTACATTGCCTATATTCCCATAAATGTTGCTACTCTCATTTCAGCGACTGCTCCCTAAACTCTCTGAACTGCTCGGACATCAGTGGGTGCCACGCGGAACGAACCATCGCTCACACACCTCCCAATCAGGATGGCCGTGCCACACCGTCTCCGGAGCACGTGTCGACAACCGACAGCGAGGAAATGCACAGCTTAGACGACAACCACACTTCTGTTCCCCGAGAGATGCGCAGCGGCTTCACCCACACAGTATCAAACAGCAACGCCAGCCCTACAACTACAAACAACGCTAAAAACACAAAAGAAACAGAGCACACAGACGAGAACTTTAATTCTTTCAACTACTGGAGATCTCCTTTACCGGACATCAGTGGGGAACTGGAGATGCTAAATTGTCAAACATCAGCGGGAGTGTTAGAGAATGACGAAAAGGAGGAGGAGGAGGAGGAACCTGAAGGTAATTGTCCTGATTCCAAGTCCAGCCCTGGCAAAGCTACCAGCGACCAGATCCAGAAGGTCTTGGACTGTTTGCAACCGCACATGGATGACCCCGATGTGCAAGGTGGGTATACAGATAGAACCAGAATACGTATGATCAGCTGTAGAATTTGGCAGTGCGTTGTAGATTGAGCTGTGTATGTGAATTTACCTCCAGCTCAAGTCCAGGTGTTGTCAGCCGCGCTGAAGGCAGCCCAGCTCGACAGCCCAGCAGACGACAGCCCGGCTGAACCCGAGCCAGAAGAAGAGCCTGAGAACAACAGCGACAGCCCATCCGTGGAGACGAAATCTGTGGAGGTTCAGTCAGAGAGTGAAGAGAGTCCCACAGAAGAGGAGCAAACGATGGAAAGTCCCCCAGCCTCAGAGTCGAGCCCTGTCCAGGAGCAGGGAGACGAAGAGACGCAGACGGAGCCCCTGGAGGACCAGGAGGACCAGGAAGAGTCTCCTCCTGACTCCCCTGTTCTAGTATGAAACATTTCAGATATTTGCAGTGTGTTAAGTCAGTTAATATATGTGGCTGAACAGTTATAGTAACTACATATACTGGACTTCAGCTGGATTTCTACTTGATGAAAGGAGTTCTGCAACTATTGCAGAACTCCCATTAGGTCCCCATGGATTTTGATTCATAGCTTAGGATCAGATTTCTTTTCTTTAAGAGATGAACAGTAAAAGCGAATCTAATTTATCAGGACTGTGTGGGTGTGTTTTGAAGTAATTTAATTGATAATGGGCTCTGGCAACACAAGCCAACAACCTCCACGACTGTCATTACATGACATCACCTTTTTTCTATCTGACCCCACCCACCTCAAACCAGTGTAAAAAAAGAGAGGACAATAAAACAAGATCTCTTGTGAGATAACTAACCCTGTTCTTATTTTGGCTGAAAGTTATGTGTTCATGTAAGACCCCATTAGTCTGCGTAAGAAGCTGATTTACTTGGTAATGTAGAGCGATCTTTGGCAGCGAGCAGGAGTTTGCAGAGATGACTGTGCTAGAAAACTTTTATTACACATTACTCTTCAACATTGTTTGTTGTCTTAACTCCCGTCTTCGTCTCCACCGGGACCTGAAGCTTTTAGGAGAAAGCACAAGCTGACCAGTCAGTTCTTGTGGTATCATTGTTATATCATTTTTTAGGAGTCAGCTGTAGCGTAACCTGTACCCATAGCTACACCGTAACCCCGTAAACCCGTAGCTGAGATCCAGCGTTAGGTCATTCAGAAGGGTGACAAGAAGTGCACACGCAGTATACTCGTTCCTCAATGCTGTGTGTGGATTTCTATGTTCCTCAGGAGTCTGAACTAATTGAGAGTGTGGAGGAGGAGGGAAAGGAAGACTCTGCTCACAGCCCAGGGCCTGAGGATAAGCCTAAGATCCAGGTCAGTCAGCACTTCTATCATACATCTTGGAAGTATTGATCAGAACCTTACACTTTGTATTAATTGGCACGAGCATGGATTACTGTAAATACTTTCTCCCTGTGCACCGCCATTCCTCCTTCATCATCAAAAACTCTTTTAATCTCTCGCTCCGTTTCCAGAATGTCATCCCCCAGCAGCTGTTGGATCAGTACCTCTCTATGACGGACCCGGCCCGGGCCCAGACCGTGGATACAGAGATAGCCAAACACTGTGCCTTCAGCCTGCCGGGGGTAGCGCTCACTTTGGGACGACAGAACTGGCACTGCCTCAAGGACACGTACGAAACCCTCGCTACTGATGTGCAGGTAAGCAGAGAAATGTGACATTAGGAGGGTAATGTGGGATTAAATGAGTGATAAACCACACTCTGGATGGATGTAAAGCTTCATTTTAGCTCAAGGATAAGTTTATTGCAGATTATTGTCCTTGAAATGTTTTTTTGCTATAGTCATAACAAAAAAACTGAACTTGTTTACTGGTTTAGAAGTTGGTTATGTTGAAGTAGACTGCTTAATAGTGTAGTTTTGTTGGAAGGTCAAAGCCAAAATACCAATGATAAACAAACTGCAGAGGTTTATGCTGGATCCTGTGATGTATTATGGATAATCATGTTTTTTAACAATTAACGTCGGGTCCTTAAGGAAGTAAATAGCATTTTGAATGGATGGTGATTAAGATCAGGTCTGTTTTTACCCTTTTTGTTGTTTTGTTGTTGTTTTTGAGGTTTAAGTAAATAAATTTGGCCACAAAGTCGTTCTTTGTGATTGCTTGATTGAATTACTCAACTTCAAATAAGCTTTATTGGCACATGATTGCCAAAGCTAAATTACATTTTATTGAATAATTACATTTAACACAAGAAAACCAAATAGATAATCACAAAATAACAGATTAAACACTTTAAATGATACAATCCATTACAACATAAATACACAAACACAGAATGATTGAACAAAGTAGAGCGAATGAGGGCCTTTTTGTGTTTGCTCTTTGGTTGTGTGTAGAATATACATTTTACTTTTTGTTGCCAAGAGAGCTATTTCGCTCCTTTTTCTCCCAACATGTAGGAAGTTTACTCTTATTGGGGCATTTCTGGACATACGATGCTGGCTTTGTGAAGACATAAATCTCATATACTGCATGCACTCATCGAGGAAGGGAAGCTCTGTCTCACAGATCACAGTGAGACCACAGCCTTTCTTCTGTTGGCAGCCACGTTTCTCTGCGTCTACCCGTGGTCTGAACATCATCGCTGAGTGATGACGCAGGGGCGAGCGTGCAGCTGCGTTTTAGGGCCAATTAACCACTGAGCTTGTGTTGTTGGTAATCTTATAGGTCAGGTCATTTCTGTATATTCTGTATATTATTTGGTTAGTTATTTAATATTGATTATCTGCCGATCCAAAGTCCTTCTTCTTTTAGATAATACAGTGCACACTTTAAGTTATTAAAATCAATCTAATGTATATGTTTGACACTTGAATAACTCTGCACTGCATTAAGAAACTAAATCCCCACTGTTCCTCAATGTTTTGTTTTATTTTTCAGTATAAAATAATAAACCCTCTGTAATCTTTGTCTGGAGGGAGTTTCTCTGTCCAGTGTTTGGTGCTTTAGTGCAGCCTTTGCCCGAGTTACCTTTTTAATGATCTGTTTTGTGTGTTTACTTCCGCCGTGTCTACATCTCTTGCAGGGATTACGTTCATTAATTACTCTTAATGGCTTCTTATTCACTGGGCTTTTGTTGCACTTGCAGTGGTGTGTGCCTAGTTCAATCAGCCAGTGTATATGCTGCCCTCATGTCTCATTCTGATAGTTCTGTTAGTTAAAATCTTGTTTGGTTTCTGTTATTTTTAAAAATTATATTTTGTGGACCTTTTTTAAGCACCCTATAACTTAGTTCATTTAATTCAGTGTATTTTGTTAAATCTTTGAATCTAAAACCTGTGTTCCTTGTGGTTTGACTGCTTGGTCCACGGCAGACCAACGATAGAAAGCTTTCTATTCAGTAAAAAAAAAACACAAGATGAATGTTGTTGTTTATTCAGTGCCACATTTCAGTTTAGACAAATTCTGTTCTATTCATCCCTGCAGCACTGTGCACGAACCACTACAGAACAATGGTGAGGGGTTGGACACATTCTGAGTAAACCACAGCCAAAATTATGAGATGAAATGTCAGACAGTGACTCTAGGGTGGCATCAGATTCCTCTTACACTTCACACATTGCTTCAGTTTCTATTCTTCAGCTGCATTCGGGCCCTTATATGACCGTTTTTTTCTTTTCCCACATTCAACATCCTTGCCCCCCCCTCCCTCTCTGGAGTCTGGCACCGAGTCAAACCCAGCAGCACCTTTTCCGTTGTCGATCGGCCTCTGGCTCATTGGTAGGCATTGAGAGGGGCCAGCTGGATATTATTAGCGCTAATGAGGACTCACAACTCTGGTGCTGGATGTCAGAGTGTGTCTGAAATTATAATGGATTAAAGCCAAATAATATCAGGCAATATAAAATATCAGAAAGGCTTGCCACAAAGGGATTCCCAAAGCTGAACACATCAGGTGCCGTAGATCCCGAACACAATCCATACAGCTGCCTGCTCGGAGAGGGGAGTGAATAAAACATAAGAACTGCACAGAAATGGAGAAAAGAGCTCTATATACAGTACAGTGTGCAGCACTTTGACACAGAACATTGTGATGCAACCCATTTCTTCTGGCTACACACTGTACAAGATGAAATATTCTGCTTTATCTCTGAACTAAAGAACTGTTGTTTATGTCTTTTTTTTAAATCCACGCTGACAGGGCAACGGATAAACAACACAACACTTTGAATTTTTTAATCTCATTTCCAAAATTTGTCAAGAATCCACAGCAGGTTTTCAACAAACCATTGTGCAGCTCTTAGCTCATTTTTCAACCTCATAGAACCATAGAATTCTCCACCATACCCACAGTCTGTATCTTGCAGAGGAAACTAAGTTATAGGAAGCAGAGGCTTACATGGCACCATGTTTTATTTATGCCAGAACAGGTGGTGCGTGAGGCAACCCAACGAATGGCCCCTGGCAAAATTGAGGCAGGAAAGAGCCTCTTTATGCTACATTACGACTGAAGTCCAATAGTAATCAAACATATCTCTGAACACAGTTTGGCTGCAGTCAAAATATACTTTGTAGAATGCAGAGGCAGAAATAAAGAGAGGATAATATCTCTAGCAAATGTTAAACCGCTTAATGGCTGGGACATTGCAGTTCTGCTAAATCATGAGGAATATAAGTACGGCTATCTGTTGTTATAATTGGCAAAGCATGATAATCAATTATATGTTAAAACTAGACTTTGCATCATGCAAAATATAAATAAGTGTAGCTCCAAGCCAACAGTGGGCACTTGGGAATACATGCCACAATTATAGGGTAGGTAATGTATTTCAGATGCTTAAAGTGGGTGGTGCTTAAACACAAAATGGGCGGGGGTTACCTGAAGTTGTTCATTTAAATCTGAAATTGATATGGATTGATCAGAAATTGCTATATTTATAGGGCAAATATTTACAGAATTTAGCTTCAGGGCAATGTTTTTGATCACAAGAGTAAGAGAAATATTTACAGAGCATATAATTCCTAGTACTGATATTGACACATTTCCCTCTGATGATCCTGTGTTCGAAATCACATACTAACATACTGCCTACTAAATACTCAGTCAGTATGTACTGCATATTGCCTAATAAATGAAGGATTAAGTATGCCAACTGTTCACACTGGAATATATTCAAAAATAAATTTTTCTCTGTATCACACATCATCAAGTGATTTTAAACACAGCCCTTGTCTGTACCTGATACTTTCATCCGAGTACTTTCTCAACCCTACTTACTAATAATCAGAACACCTAGGCTTCTACTGCATGGATTTTTCAACATGCTTTTAATAATCTGGTTCATACAAAGTGAAACTGCAATACTAAATCTACAGTTCACAGTATCCTGTTAATGAACCAAGTACATGAGCAAGGACCAAATGAGGAATGTTGGGTTTCTCTTAACAAAAAATAAATCATTTACATAACAATAAGCTGACAACACACACCACTCTTGTGTGTGCTTATTATAAAGGCACATCGATCGCTAACTTACTACAGGTACCAACCGTCTTTACATAGCATCTTGTAAATGTACCACAGCAACAACTAGCACAATGTCTGGTAAAGCAGCATCATTGTAATTACGATTAGATTTATGCAGAGGATTGCATCTTTGTGGACATCCAGCAAACAGCTCCTACAACAACAGGGAGCTGATTTCACTAGCCTGTTGTTTCCATGAATGTATTTAAGGTCCAGTGTGTAACATTTAGGAGGATCTATTGTCAGAAATGGTATATAATATTCATAGATGGTACATGGACTGCACTTATATAGCGCCTTTTCTTGTCTTCGGACGACCGATACAAAGTGATTTACATTACATATCAGATTCACCCATTCACATACATTTATACATTGTTGGCAGAAGCTGCCATACATGAATCACATTCAGGCACATGCAGACACTGATGGCACAGCATCAGTTCATTCAGTAAATTGCTCCTGTTTAGTATGTTGCCCAAGGACACTTCGACATACAGAGGGAGTGGTGGGGATCGAACCACCAACCTTCCTATTACTGGATGACCCACTCTACCTCCTGAGCCACAGCTGTCCAGCTCCTGTGGCCCAAAGCATTTTTCCCGCAGACTGCAGTTTTTCAAAACACATCTATGAAAGTCTTGACAGGACACCTCCAACTTCAAACAATTGACCCTTCCTAAGGTCTGTCCTTTTGGAAGCTTATGCTGTGTCTCAAATTGAATACTTACTTCATCAGTACACGTCTATGTAGTACACTATGCACACTACGTACTTACCAGCATAGTGTGATAATTTCATCAGCTTAGTGTTTAACTTAGCACGGCCATTGCGCACTTATCGGATGTGACGGTCGTAACATTGTACCATGTCACCTTCTTCTTCTACTGCAACTTACCGGACTGAACATTAGCACCAATACCGGCTTATGTACAGGTATCTTCCAGTGGTCCTTTCCCTTCCGCTATGTAGCAAAAATGGCAACCATTGAGGGTAAAAAGTGTCCAGTGTTCCACACTTTTTGACCATTATGAGTGCACTGCATTTTGCCACACTCGACAATGTGAACGCACAGAGCAAAAAGGGGTGGGACTTAGGAAGGGTCAATTATTTCTTTTAGTGTTATTCATCTTCAATCCATGAAGGTTTAACATTTGCAAAAACGTAAAAAAAACATAATTTTTGCTAAAAACAGAAAGGTCAAACTTCAGTCTTCAGCCCCTTCAATTTTAAGTCACTTACTTAATTTGGCCTATGATACATCTAAGAGCTAACTGTTGCATCCAATTTACACAAGATGAAGATATCTAGAGGAGAGGAGAGGGTACACACCATGTTCACATTACAACAGTAGTTACAGTATTTACCTTAAGGATAGATTTTAACATTATAGACCATGACTTTCTTATGCTTTTCTTTTTACTTGTAACAGACTACGAGTGTATTATATTTTAACTTACAGTTAACACAGAGTTTCCACTGATAGAAGTCAGCCATTTGTCTGGCTTGAAGAGAGAACTCCAGATATCCCTGACCCCACTATCAATGTACTTGGAGACTGCATGTGAAATGTGACTATTTCCTCTGAATATGGTCTTGCTCTCTTGAGTTACAGTGATCACTACTGCTGTCACATTGCCACTAAAAGTACAGTATGTTCTCTTCCTGGTCCTGCTGTAACCAGCAAATCTGTCTCTTCAAACTCAAACTGTAACAATCATCTTTACCTTCTAAAATCACTTTTAGTGAGACATATCAACTTTCCTTGCAAATAACTGCCATTTTGTATTGTTTTATGCCCATTTTTCTATTTTATTTGATACATTTTTAACTCATAATGAGATACCCCACTGCTGTTTATTGTCCTGCTACAGTAACAACCTGGTGTGAAATGGAGGCTAATAAGTACATAAATGCTGTTTACCCACCTCTCAAGCCTGAAATAGAGTTTACTCAAATCTCCTGGGGTGTTTATGAATACAAGAGTAATTTCACAGGTCCCTGTCATACACCGTCTTTTGTAAATTCTGGATTGCTTGTTTTGTCCATCATATGTGAGCACAGAGCAGCCTACTGCACACTCTCGTTAGGTCGAAAATAAAACTGATTGTGCTGATTCTGAGGGGCGGCTATACATAAAAGACAATGGACATCTGATAGATTTTGAATTATGATCCATCATTAAAGCTGCCATAGGTAACTTATGAAAATAACTTTTTGTCATATTTGCTGAAACCTTTACTATATCCTGACAGTAGTAGATGATACAGATCATTTGTGAAAAAATCAGGTTCCTCTGGTTAGTTCTCGTGCTCCTAATGACATTGGCAAGAATCTACTGGGCCTGAAAAACAACCAATCAGAGATGTAGGAGGAGCCAGAGGAACCTGATTTTTTCACAGATTATCTGTCTCATGTACTACTGTCAGTAAATAGTTAAAGGTTCAGCAAATATGACACAAAGTTATTTTTATAACAATTACCTACTTTAATTATGCATCATAATTCAAAATTTGTCAGATTTGTTATGCATAGCCACCACTCCTCCCCATCTAGCTTTTACACTACATGCACACCCTTTCACACAGTGATAGATGACAGAAACTAACTCAGTCATTTACACAGTATCTTGCACAAGGATGTAGGAGGAGCCGGTGATCGAACCAACAACCTTCCGATTAGGGGAAGACCCGCTCTGCCTCTGCGCCACAGCCGCCCCTACGTAGAGCAGTGTCCCTCGGCTTCCGGCGATGAGGG